ACTTCCGCTCTTACTGGTCAACACCTGTGGATACGGAACATGCTTTACTACGAACCAAGTTCTTTTTACGCCTGACAAACAAAGTGATTGATGGATTCACTTGAAGTAACGTCGGATCGATTCGAAATTGCAATGGTTTCGCTCAAAGTTGAAATGGTAGTGTACGTGTACCGTAAATGTAAAAATAAGTTGACATGCGAGATTCATTTGAAAAAAAGATAGATTTTTGAATGCAAAATTATGGACTTAACAGAGCATCTTGGTACAGGTAAATAGCACAAGCTCTCACCACTAACCCGCGAACTGGTTCATGTGGAGCTATTGATATCCGTCGCGGTTTCAGCAAGTCACTTCGAGGGTAAGCTCTGGGGAACGGAGGAAACCCTCATGATTATATTCTTCCCCTTCTTGATAGTACGAACTTAAAAAAGGCATCACAAGCAAAAGTGGAAACGAATCCACAATAATTAAATAACCTGACACCTTGAATTGTTGCTGAGCTAGTTCAACCAAGGCAAATTTAACTGATTTTTCATCGATCATGCAATCGTATGATAGCTCAAATTTTGATTTGCTACCTTTTTGTTTATTCTATATTTTAGGTGTAGGTTTTTCTCAGATCAAGAAATTAAAAGGCGCCATCATGCAGAATAAAACAGCCAGCCAATACCATAACATTGCTGATACGCTGCTATGGAAACCAGTCGAAAAGTGTGATAAGCACGTGGTGTAAATTCCACCGATGGTTTGAATGTATCTTCCACTCAAGTATGATACATTCGTGGTCCGGATTTTCATCACTTTTAAATTTCACCTAATAAGCGCTTCGAGCATCTCCGCTAGTCCAGTTTTGTCAATCACTTCCAGTTTTCAAAACGGAGCACTTTGTCGATTGCTCAAGAGGTGTAGCATTTGAGGGAATCAATTATTCCCACAAACACTATATATATAGCGAGAGAGAGAGAGAGACAAGTTGCCGGTTTTCATCACTGAACAGCAGGTTCTCGTGGTCATAGGGCTTTCTCCTCTGCTGTTCATCACAATGAGGTGTTATAAAAAATAAAATCGTTGGCGAATATTCCCGTTCCTTTATTACATTCCCTTTTCTAACTCGTACGCATCCAGATATGCAGTGCATCTGTCGACTGCCTCCCATGTTTGGCATTTCCACGTTCGTATGACCCCTGGTAGAGGAAGTGGAAGTTTCCATGTGCATCTAACAGTAAGCCTAGGTAGTGTGCATGCAAACAACAAAATTGTTACTACCGTCCAGCACAGAAAAAACGCAACTCAACCCGGAGCAATCCAGGTGACACGAGTTCGATGTGGCTGACAGTCAAAATGATCGCGTGAAGGAACACGATGGCATCCCATTGAATCAACTGATAGCAACCCAGATCATTGAACTCAAACAGTGCAGCAAAGAACATCAGTGTTAACTACGAAATAGAGCACTAGTTTACAAGGGTTCACACGTTAAACACGTTCATATCGTAAAACACCACGAGAATAACGCTCAAAAGTTTCGGGGTGTAGGGAATGGAATAATTTATCTTGTACAATCTACCTCGAAGCATTCCATTCACATTCCAGCCACTATGCGGTAATTTCTTTTATTTATCTCAACCCGTAACCAATTATATAGGACTGGCATATATATATATATATATATATATATATATATATATATCACACCGGCTTGAGAACAANAGAACACGGAGAACGAATGTATAAATGAAGGAATTTTTTTGTAGTTTCACTGTCCACTTTTTGAAGATTTTTTCTGTTATGGGGAACGGGATTTCGCCAAACAAACTACACAGCAATCGCGCCACTGACATCTACTCTGAGCCATATCTCCCAGTGTCTCTAGCCATCGGCAATCATCATCCCTTGGGCTCCAGCCTGGAAGGCGAGCTGCACCAACCGAAGCCAATGCTAAGGCTAACTTCTTCATACCTCTACGCCACGTCATGGTCTCATCGCCGCGAAGCTTCGTCCAACCTTGCCTGCCACGTGCAAAGAGAGCACGGCGAGGTAGTCGATGAGCAGGCATACGCAAAACATGACCGAGCCATCGCAGGCGGTGTAGAACGATTTCTTCCGTTAGAGAACGACCATCAGTACCCAGAACACGACGATGAACTTCGTCACTGCTTACCCGGTGTTCCCACCAGACACGAGCAATGCTTCCAAGGCATCGATGAGCGAATACAGAAAGTCCATTAACATCCGCCGCTCGGAGAAGCCAGGTCTAGGAACCGTAAAGCGTACAATGAGGTTTTGGGAAATCGATATCGGTTGCGCATCAGAGACACCAATTCGATATCGCAGTATTATAAACCACCTGAATGCGCCGTATCTGTTCTCAAGGTATCTTCTTTGCGTATCAGGAGACAATAAAGCCCGCTCACTGGGTCAACGTGGTGTAGGAATCACAGTAGACGATAAAACGGAAGCTTCGTTGATAGACTGGAGAGCCGTCAATGGCCGTTTGTGCGCAATGACGCTCTCGAATTGTTAGTGTTCGGAAGAGCAGCAAACCCAAAGAGAGTTTATCATTTCCGCACATACACCAATGAACTGCAGTTCCAATTCACAATTTTTACGACGACCTCGCCGAACTCATTCGGTTGAGCTGCAGCAGGTGCTAGCAGGTGATTCCGAAGTGCATCTGAAATCTGTCTAAGGGCACGCTTCGCTTGGCACGCCCAGCGAAAGGATAAAGGTGATCGACTATTTCAGTTCTGCGGGGATTGGTTGCTCACATCTAGCACCAACTATCGACACAACCCTCGTCGGACGGCAAGATGATGTTCTAGTTCAACGGGAAAGTTGGCCGGAACTGACCACAGCTGTAAGTTACCGTTGGCGCTCTTCAGTACATAATGACAGATCCTACTGGAGTGCCTGCATTGAGTCTGATCAGGCGCTAGTTCTGATGCGCTTCATTCTTCACTCTCCACCTCTTTGGTCATTGACCGAAATCACGCCCTCAGATAGTTTATCATTGTCTGCGCGCTCCTGTGCACGTTGAGAAGCTGGAACAGGAGCTAGGAGCACCGTGACATGAAGTAGAACGGCGAATACAGCGGAAACTCGATGGGTGGCAATAAGTGAGCCTCCAACAGAACCAGAAGTAAGAAGTCGTTAAAGTGAAGGCAACCGGCTTCTCCTCATTCTTTTCAAGCCGAGGGGTGACTCTCTCATCGACTCCATTACTAGCTTACTTCGCAGCATTTGGTCGGAGGAGCTTATCCCTTCCTCCTGGGGTGAGTCGTTGATCTTTCCGATCTTCAAAAAGGGATTATGCAACGACTTCGCAAACCACCGCGGGATTAGTTTAGTTCCAATAATTACAAGTGTTGAATTCTGTGATACTTTGCCGCCTGACGCCTTTAGGAGAGATGAACATCCGCGAACAGCAAGCCGGATTCCGACGAGGGTCGCGGTTGCATCTACCAAATCTTCACTCTACGTCAAGTCCTCGAACTGCGTCACACACATCGTCGGCCAACAATCGCAGTGTTCCTTAACCTGAAACGAACCTTCGATTCCGTTGACCGGGTCGCTGCTTCGCAAAGGAATACCGCATAACTCCATAAAACCATTGCAATCGTTGTACCTGCATACATCGGGTAGCGCCAGAGTGTACAATGGGCTAAAAAGAACGATTGGAACCAGGAGCAATGTTTGTCAATGGTTCCTTATTTCGACATTTCGAATAAATTTCGTTGTAGACGAAGTCATGGAGAACGCAGTTAGTGATCTCTCC